GCTCTTTGTTGGGGTGGGGGGGGTGGGGGGGGAGAAAAAAAAACATGGAAAACTGAGTAATTTCTTCAGTGGGAGATACCAGAAAAATGCCTTTACTTACAGAGATGCCCATACCTTCCCCTCGCAGAACTGCCCCAGAGGGGAAAGAAACAGGAAACAAACCAAAAACAAACAAACAAAAAAATCCAGAAAAAAAAAAAACACAACAAAAGAACAATTCCTGTTGGTAGGTTTAAACCCAGTATATATATATCTCAATATATACAGACATACAATTCTGCCACACATTGCATTTGGTCCTTTATCCTTCCTTCTTCCCCCCTCCCCGCCTCCGGTGTGTGTTTGAGGTAAGACACGCAGAATTTTGTAAAATTCAAACTGGCAAAAAATAAACCAGAAGGGTGAGGCGGGTGGGTGCGGGCGAGGCTGGAAGGGGACACGGTACCTGGGTTCGGATGGGACCCTGCAGAGGCTGCTGGGCTGGGTGGGGGGAAAGAGAATGAATTGAATTTACCCCTGAGTATCAAACCGGGCATGTTTCCCGTGAAATCACCCACCGTGATTCCCGTTTCAGCAACGGCCGGGGAAGAGGCATCACCTGGAGCCACAGGACTTTCCAAACCTGTGCATGTGTTCAAAGAAAAAAAACCTCCTTTATATTTATATATTTATTTATATATATATATATATAATATATATATAGTGCTCTTCGGAGCCAGGATGGTGGGTAAAGACCTATAGGAATATACGGTGCGGAGGGGAAGGCGCCAGGTTGTCCTTGCAGGGTCTGGAGGTGATGGCTACGGGGATTTTGGCTGGACCCATGAGGATCTGGGGACACGTGGCTCGCCCCGGCTCTGGGAGGTGTTTCTGGGATGTCTGTACCTCTGGAAAAACTTTTTCAAAAAAATAACGGCACCCCGAGCAGGACCCGTGGTGGGCGCTGGAGGGCTCACCAGTGCCGGGCGTGCTTCGTGCCTGGACCACCTTGGATTTTACCCAAACCGTATGCAAAACCCAGCGGGTCACAGAGCTGCTACAAACTGAGATTTGAAGAGCACGAGGAAGGCGAGGGGAAAGGCCCCCGGGGGAGCAGACGAAGGGGAGCAGCTACAAACAGCGAGGGGGATCTGCGTCCCCGCAGAGCTCGCAGCCCCACGGCCATGGGGAGGACCCACCAGCAGAACACCCCCGGCAGTGGGTGGGAGGCGGGTGGCAGCACCCACCACCCGCCGGAGCGATGGTTTGCAGCTCTCCCCGCACCCGTGCAAGCGCCCGAGCACGTGTGCCACCAGCCGTGCCCGCACGCATGTGGCTGCAAAACCTCCCCTCCGCGGAAAGGACAAACTACACCAGTACAAGACCAGGTCATTCCCAGTGCAAGGCCAGCTCATTCCCTCCCCAGGTAGCCCGGGGTGTCCCAGACACGCTGGAGCAGCACGAGGGGTGACACCGGGTGCTGTGAGAGGCACAGTTGCCACCCATGGGGGCAAACCAAAGACCCAAAAGCCTGGATGGAGGCAGGGAAACCCCTGCTGAGGGTGAACCGTGGGTGAGCAGCAGCGGAGGGGGGCTGAGGGCTGCACCCCAACATCCACCTCGTCCATCCCTCCCCGCTCCTTCGTACGAGTAAAAGCAGTAATGCACGACGCCGGCCTGCCTCCAGCAACACCCGCCCGCGGCAGCTGTAAACTTGTTTAGGATAATAACTTAAAATCAAAAGACTGAGATACAAAGAGGAAAAAAAAAAGAAAAAAGAAAAAAGAAAAAAGAAAAAAGAAAAAAGAAGACAAATGAAAAAGAGAAAAAAGAAAAGAAAAAAGGAAAAAGAAAAAAGGAAAAGGGAAAAAGGAAAAACAGAAAAAGAGAAAAAAAGAAAAAGAAAAAGAGAAAAAGAGGAAAAGAGGAAAAAGAGAAAGAGAAAAAAGAGAAAAAAAGAAAAAGAGAAAAAAGAAAAAGAAAAATGAGAAAGAAAAAAGAGAAAGAAAAAGAAATAGAAAAAAGAGAAAAGGGAAAAAAGAGAACGAGAAAAAGAGAAAGAACAGAAAAAGAGGAAAAAAGAAAAGAGAAAAGAGAAAAAGAGAAAAAGGAAAAAGAAAAGAAAAAAGAGAAAAATAAAAAGAAAAAAGAAGAAAAAATAAAAGAAAAAGAGAATCAGAAAGTTTTTTAACAGAAAGCAGGTGGGGAGCACAGGCAGCGCCTCCGACCCCGCGGCTGCTGGGGAGGTACGGGGGGACCGGGGCTGGACCCACACTGCAAGAGATGGGGGTCTCCCCCTCCCCCCGCCCG